ACAACAACAACAACAACAACAACAACAACAACAACAACAACAACAACAACAACAACAACAATAAGAGCAGCAGCAGCAGCAGCAACAACAGTTGCTGCTGCTGCTGCTGCTGTGTGTTGTACACTCTACTTTTTAATCTCAGCTTCAGCAGGCCTACGATGGCTTGCAGATATTGAAGTGCTGAGCAGGGCGAGGGGTTTATGTTTTTTTGTGTTATATATATTCTTAAACAACTTATACTTTTAAGTACATCAAAATATATTTATTTATCTCTCTATCAAACCTTTTTAACTCTGTTGTCGTCTCTTCTCTTTGCTGCTCTAATATATATACACCGCTGCCCATAGGGGTAAGAAAAGGTATATACATATATATATACATATATATATATATGTATATATGTATATACATATATATATACATATAGAGATATATATATGCATATATATATGTATATATATATATATGTATATATATATATGTATATATACATATGTATACATATAGAGATATATATATGCATATATATATATACATATATATATATATATATATATATGTATAAGAGGGGGACCCATCATTACGGTGTCGCCGCTGTGAATAATAATGAAGAAGACAGCAGCAGCAACAGCAGCAGCAACAACAGCAGCAGATAGAGTTTGAGTTTGTTTTCTTTTAAAGAATAAACAACAGCTTTAGATACACACAAATATATATAATATTTATATATTTATTTATTTATTATACACCCTACAGCTTAATTATTTGTTATTTAATGCAGGGTTGTCTATCAGACAAACAAACAAAACAAACTAAAAATAATCTTACCCCTGTAAACAAACACGCAGCAGCAAACTCATAGCCCTGCAGCAGCGCGGGTGCTGCTGCTGCTATACCGAAGCTGCAGCTGCTGCTGCAGCTTCTGCTGCTGCAGGTATAAGCAGAACGAAGCCCCAGTTAATGCATGCATTGTACACTGAAAGCAGCTAACGGATGGGAGGAGTGGAGGGTCGCAGCAGCAGCAGCAGCAGCAGCAGCAAACACTACTGTATCCGCACCCATAGCTGCTGCAGAGACAAAAAGAGAACCGACAGAGACAGCAGCAGCAGCAACAGCCGCAGCAGCAGTAGCAATGAGCCTGCATGCGAGAAGAAATAATGCAAGTGTTTAATACAGCACCATCGATAGACAGAGACAGCTGAGAGCAGCAGCAACACAGCAGGGGCAGCAGCAACAAACACACGCCGCTGACTGCTGCAACACAGCAGCAGAAATCAACATAACAGCAGCAACAGCAGCATAAACTACTGCAGCAGCACCCATAACAGTTGCAGACACAAACATAGGCCCTCCAGAGACAGCAGCAGCAGCAGCAACACCAACAGCAACAGCAGCAGCAGGAACCACAGCCACACGCGCGGCAGCAGCATCAACAGCAGCAGCAGCAGCAGCTAATGCCTTTGATGAGTGTTTTATGGGCTAAATAATTAAATATAATATTTAAATATATAAAAAACAATAAAATATTAATTATATTAACTTTGCTGCTGCAGCGAGGGAGGCAGCAGCACACACACCAGCCCCAGACCGCCGCTGGGGGCCTCAACTCAAACAACCCCCAGCAGCAGCAGCAGCTGCAGCAGCAGCAGCAGGAAGATCTGTTTGCTGCAGCAGCAGATGAGGCTTGTGCATTTAGCTGCAAGCATTGCAACAGCAACTCAAGCAGCAGCAACAAGAGCGGCAGCAGCAGCAGCAGCAACAGCCCCCGTCCAGCTGCATAGCTGCAAACCATTAGCTGGCATTGCTGCTGCTGCTGTTGCTGCTGCTGCTGCTGCTGCTGCTACTTCATGCCTCTCGGCTCCTGCGCGAGCAGTGCTGCTGCGCCCGGTGCTAGCAGTAGCGAGCGTAGAAACAGCAGCAGCAGCAGCAGCAGCAGCAGCAGGATGGCCTGCTTGCTGCTACGATCCTCTTTAGAATGTCACACAGCAGCGCCTCCTCTCGGCCTTCCTCTTTGGCTTTCACTGCACCCCCGGTAGCAGCAGCAGCGCTTACAGCAGCAGCAGCAGGAGCAGCAGCAGGAGCAGGGACAGTAACAGATCCAGCAGCAGATGCAGCAGCAGATGCAGCAGCAGGGCACCTGCCTCCCTTTGTTGTTGCTGCTGCTGAGACAGCTCCAATACCTTCACCTTCAATCTCTTTGAAGTCATACACTAACTGCATAGCGCGCACCTTGCAAAGCCTGGAGACGCTGCAGCAGCTGCAGCAGCAGCTGCTGCGGAGCCCCAATGCAGCAGCAGCAGCAGCAGCAGCTGCTGCTGCTGCTGCTGCTGCAGCTGGTGCGCACACAGACGATGGATCTGCTTCAAGAGGGATGCCGCTTCTTGCGAGGCAGCAGGAGGAGCAGCTGGAGAAGCAGCAGCGGGAATTAAAGGAGCAGCAACTGCTGCTGCTGCAGCAGCAGCAGCAGGTAGAAAGGGAGGCTTTGCTGCAGCAAGAAAACCAGCAGCAGCAGCAGCAGCAGCAAGTACTGGTGGACCGCGTTGCTGCTGATGTTCGTGTGTTGGTGCGCGCAGCAGCAGATCTGCGAATGCCTGCTGTTCAGCAGGTGCTGCAGCAGGTAGTTTCTGCTGCTGCTGAGGGAGATACGGTGCAGCGGCAGGGCGCAGCAGCAGCAGCAGCAGAAGCAGCAGAAGCAGCAGCAGATGCTGTGTCTCTGGCTGTACTGACCCCTTCAATAGTATGTAAGAGCAGCAGCAAACTGCTGCTGCCTCCTCGTCTGCTGCAGCGTTTGCTGCACTTGTCTCTAATTGGTGTGGGGCTTCGCTCCCTGCCTCCTCTTGCTGCTGCTGCTCCTCTGCTGCAGCAGCTGCTGCTCAACAACAACAATCTCACAGACGAATCCCTCAGGGCGCTGCAGCACTTGCAGCAATTAAAAGTGCTGTCCCTTAGCCACAACTGTCTCCGCTTGCAAGGCACTGCTGCTGCTGCTGATCCTGCTGCTGCTGCTGCTGCTGGTGTTGCTCTGAGTGCCGCACATCAGCAGCAGCAACAGCAGCAGCAGCAGGAACAAGAAGAAGCTGGCCTGACCAGCGCATATCCAGAAGCAGCAGCAGCCGAAGCAGCAGCAGCAGATACCAGCACCAGCAGCAGCAGCAGCAGCAGCAGCAAGGGGCTGTTCGGTGTCTGTTCTTTGCTGCCAACTCTTCCATCTTTGCTGCTGCTGGATATCAGCAGCAACCGCCTCTGCGCTTTGGGGGAGCATTTGAGAAGTTTGACGCTGCAGCACTTAAACTGCAGCAGCAACGAACTCCGGGAGCTGCTGCTGCTGCAGCAGCTGCCGCAGCTGCTGCTGCTCGACGCAAGAAACAATCCCTTAGAAATCACTGGCGGATTAGAGGCTGCTCCCAAGCTGCAGCACCTGCTGCTCTCAGCGCAGCAGCAGCAGCAGCAGCAAAAGCAGCAGCAGCAGCAGAAGCAGCAGCAGCAAAAGCAGCAGCAACGTATCGAATTAAGGGAGATAGAGGTCTGCCATGAGGCTGTAAAGAGCATCACGCTTGAACTGATGCCTGCGAAGCAGCAGCAACAGCAGCAGCAGCAGCAACAGCAGCAGCAGCAGCAGGTAGCGGGAGTGTTAGGAGGGACGTCTGGTTTAAGCGGCAGCAGCTTCAGCGGCAGCTGTACGCGCAGCAGCAGCAGCAGCAGCAGCAGCAGCAGCAAGGCCCCCCTTGCTGTTTGCCGTTGGCGTTCGCTGCTTCGTTGGAGGGTGCCACAGCTGCAGCACCTCACCATCAGCAGCAGCAGCAGCAGCAGCAGCAGTAGATGCAGCAGCAGCATCCGTGCCTTGGAGATCCCCGACGAGATGTGGAGCCCTTCTAGCAGCAGCAGCAGCAGCAGCAGTGGTGGTGGTGGTGGTGGTGAGCTTACTGGCTTTGACAGCAGCAGCAGCAACAGCAGCAGCAGCAGCAGCAGCAACGTGTGGGGAGTTTGCTTGCGTCCGGTGTCTTCTTCCGCTGCTTCTTTCTCTCGCTTGTCTCGCTTGTCTGTTTGCTGCTGCTGCTGGTTTGAGGGTTCTTTGCATGCGTTTGCTGCTACGCCGCTGCCGCTGCTGCAGCAGCTAGACCTGCGAGGAAACGGTTTGCTGCTGCTGCCGCCCCACACGTTTGAGAACAAACAAAAGCTGCAGCTGCTGCTGCTAGATAAGAATCCGCTGCTCTCGCTGCAGGCGCTGCTGCTCGCCCTTAAACCCATCGTAAGTCCCTCTTGCTGCTGCTGCTGCTGTCGCTGCTGCTGTCCCTGCTGCTCCTGTCGCTCCCGTTGCTGCTGATGCTGCTCCTGTCGCTGCTGTTGCTGCTGCTGTCTCTGCTGCTGTTGGTGCTGGTGCTCCTGCCCCTCCTGCGACTGCTGGTGCTGATCTTCCTGCTGCTGCTGTTGTTGCTGCTATCGCTGCTGCTGCTGCTGCTGCTGCTGACTGGGAGTCTTTTGCTGCTGGTGGCTCTGCGCATGCAGGCGCACACGCTGCAGCATTTGTCTCTGCGAGACACCCCAATTTCTGAGGGCCTCTACGCACCACTGCAGCAGCAGCAGCAGCAACAGTGGCAGCAGCAGCAGCAGCAGCAGCTGCAGCTGCAGCAGCAAGGAACAGCGGCTCAGCAGCCAGCTGCAGCAACCTGGGAGACGCCTCCTCCCCTCTTGTTTATAACAGACAAACAATACGAACTCATGGTCCAGCAACAGCAGCAGCAGCAGCAGCCGTCAGAACAGCAGCAGGAAGCGCAGCAGCAGCTCCTGCTACCCATGGGATCTTACAGCAATTCATCAGCAGCAGCAGTAACAGCAGCAGCAGCAGCAAACGGTGCTGCTGTAGATTTAAGGAACCAGACGAAGAATCGTTTGGTGTACAGGTTCGCTCGCTGTTGCCTGCTGCTTGTTGCTGCTGCTGTTGCTGCTGCTGTTGCTGCTGCTGTTGCTGCTGCTGTTGCTGCTGCTGCTGCTGCTGTTGCTGCTGCTGCAGAGGGTTTTTCTGATGGAGCGCATCTTGCCTCTCCCCTTACTGGCGTTTTCCCCCGTTTGGATTTGCTGCTGCTGCTGCTGTTGCTGCTGCTGCTGGTGATGCTGCTGCTGTTGCTGCTGCTTCTGTTGCTGTTCAGGCAAAGCGTTGTTGAGGTGCTGCCAGAGCTGCTGTCGTTGGATGGTCTGCTGCTGCAGCAGCAGAAGGCCGCTATGAGTCTTCCCGCTGCTGCAGCCATTGCTGCTGCAGTTACTAGAGCCGTGCTGCCCCCCAGTCTCCTCGCAGCTGCAGCGGAAGCAGCAGCAGCAGCAGAAGCTGCAGCAGGAGCTGCAGCAGAAGCAACAGCAGAAGCTGAAACAGCAGCAGCGAACCCAACGGCGTTGGAACGGGCGCACATGGCTGCAGCAAGCAAGCAGCAGCAAGAGCAGCAGCCGCGGCTGTGGCGCAGCAGCAGCGCAGCAGCAGGAGCAGCAGGGGCTTTCGGAAGGTCTTCTTCTGCTTCTTCGTTGCTGCTGCAGCGGGAGAAGTCTCTGGGAAGTGCATCGACAGCTGCTGCTGGCGTGAGGCGGAGGAGCACTTGGTGCAGCAGCAGCAGCAACAGCAACTGCAGCAGCAGCAGCAACAGCAGCAGCAGCAGCAACAGCAGCAGCAGCAGCAACACGAAGGGTTCAACAGTGGAGGAAGCAAGGTGCGCTCCCCTTGCTGCAGCGGGAGATGGTGTTGCTGGCGCAGCAGCAGCAACAGCAGCAGCGGCGGATACGCCAACAGCAACGCCAGCCCCAGCTGCTGCAGCACCAGTACGCCTTGATTCAGCTGCAACAGCAGCAGCAGCAGCAGCAAACACCGCAGCAGCAAACAGCAAAGGGTCGTGGATAACTGGAGTTGTGAAGCGTCTCGTCCCCACACAGCTGAGGAACCCGTTCTTGAAGCAGCAGCAGCAGCAGCAGCAGCAGCAGCAGCAGCAGGAAGACCCTCAGAGGCCATATCAGCAGCAAGAGGCAGGGGATTCGGCTGCTGCAGCAGCTGCGGCTCCTTGGAGTGGGAAGGGAGGTCCGGGAGCTGCAGTTGCTGCTGCTGCTGTTGCTGCTACTGCTCTGGTTGCTGCTGCTGTTGTGGCTACAGTGCGAGCCTTGCTGCTGCGTCTACCCCTGTTTTTGCTGCTGCTGCTTCTGCTGCTGTAGTTGCTGCGGCTGCTGCTGTTGGTGGTGGTGTTGCAGCAGCTGCTGCTGGAGGGCGTATTGTCCTGCTGAGTTTCCCTTTGTGCTGTTGCTGCTGCTGCTGCTGCTGCTGCTGCTGTTGCGCTGCAGGTGTCAAGACAGCGGCAGAGGAGGAGCCGCTGAGGAGGCGGTGGCAGAGGCCCCACACTGTCCCTGCTCTACGTCTCAGAAGCAGCAGAAGCAGCAGCCGCAGCAGCAACAGCAGCAGCAGCAGCAGGGAAAAGGAGGGAGAGACAAGTTCAAGCCATACTGAAGTGCTGCAGGACGCCTGCGAGACAGCACATTCGCAGACATTGGGCGGGCAGCAGCAACAAGAGCAGCAGCAACAGCAGCAGCAGCAGCAGCAAGAACAGCAGCAGCAGCGACGGCGGGGTGAGGGGCCTGAAAGCTGCGCTGTCAGCAGAACTCCCAGCAGCAACAGCAGCTGCAGCGACAGCAGCGGGAGCTGCAGCTGCAGTTGCATTAGCAGCTGCAGCAGCTGCAGCAGCAGCAGCAGCAGCAGCAGCAACGTGAGCAGAAGCAGCAGCCAGGAGAACTTCGCAGTCTTTCAAGGTTGTAATTGGCTTTCGGGCCCCTCCCCTACTTCTTCTCTGTGGGCTTCACCAGCAGCAGTCGCATTATCTGCTGCTGCTGCTGTTTCTCCTGCTGCTGATGACGTTGACTCTGCTGCTGCTGCTGCTATTCCTGCGGCTGAAGATGCTGCTGCTGCTGTTGCAAGCTGTGGGGCTTCGTCAGCGCTGGACAATCTGCGGTTGCCGCCCCCCCGAAGGGCTTCAGAAGCTGCAGCAACAGCAGCAACAGCAGCAACAGCAGCAGCTCCTGCTGCTGCTGATGGTGATTTTTTCCTAGGAGAGGGTTGCAGCCGGGGCCCAGCAGCAGCAGCAGCAGCAGCAGCAGCAGCAACAGGGCCATTCACAATACTGCCAGTAGAGTCTATTTCAGCTGGGAGAGCTGCCACAGGTGATGCAGCTGCAGCAACAACAGCAGTAGCAGCAGCAGCAGCTGCTGCTGCTGCTGCTTCACCTGAGAAGAGAACAGATATCTCCACAGCACCAGCAACACCTGCTGCTGCTGGCGCAGCAGCAGGTGCAGCGCTGTGGGGTCCGCTGCAGCAGCAAACGAGCGATAAGCACCCATTAGGTGTGGACGCAACAGCAGCAGCAGCTGCAGCAGCAGCAGCAGCAGCTACAGCAGCAACAACACCCCCAGAATACCTCGCAGATTCTCGTTTGGATTTGCAGCAAGACACCTTCGGCATGGGGGTGTATGAGAGCAGCAGCAACAGCAGCAGCAACAGCAGCAGCAGCAGCAGAGGCATAGTGGAAGACGGTGCCAGCGCTGCAGAAGAGGCAGCAGCAGCAGCAGCAGCAGCAGCAGAAGCTGCGGCACGCGTTGCTGACGCTGCGGAAGATGTGGCAGCTGCAGCAGAGACAGCCGCACGACAGCGTGGCGATGTAGCAGCAGCAGCAGAAGCTGCTGCTGCTGCTGCTGCGGAAGCTGCTGCTGCAGCAACAGCCGCATGCGAGAGAGCCGAGGGCACCCTAGCGCAGCGCATACATGCAGTAACAGCAGCAGGTGCTGCAGCAGATGCTGCTGCTGCTGGGAGCCAAGCAGCACTGCATGCAGCTGCTGCTGCTGCTGCACGCCACCAGCGAGCAGCAGCAATTGCTGCAGATGCAGATGACGCTGCTGCTGCTGCACAGGAAGCAGCAGCAGCAGCGGAGGAAGACCTCGCAACGACGGAACTTGCTGCTGCTGCTGCTGCAGCGGCTGCAGCTATGGCTGCTGGTGAGGTGTCTCTTGCCGGGGAAGCTGCTGCTGCAGCAGCAGAAGAGGCAAGAGCAGCAGAACGGAGTGCTGCAGCAGCAGATCTCGCCGCCGCTGCAGCAGAAGAGAAACACTCCACTTCTGATTGCGCAGCTCACGCAGCAGCAGCAGACGCTGCAGCAGCAGAAGCTGCAGCAGCGGAGGCAGCAGCAGCAGAAGCTACAGCAGCAGAAGCTGCAGCGGCAGAAGCTGTAGCAGCAGAAGCTGCAGCAGCAGAAGCTGCAGCAGCAGAAGCTGCGACATTGAAAGCAGCGGCAGCAGAAGCTGCAGCAGCAGAAGCAGCAGCAGCAGAAGCAGCAGCGGCAGGAACAGCAGCAGCAAAAGCAGCAGCAGCAGAATCCGCAGCAGCAGAAGCTGCAGCAGCAGAGGCAACAGTAACAGAAACAGCGGCAGCAGAAGCGGCTGCAACAACAGCAGCAACAGAAACAGCGGCTGCAGCAGAAGCAGCAGCTGCAGAGGCTGCAGCAGCAGAAGCTGCAGCAGCAGAAGCTGCAGCAACAAAAGCTGCAACGGCAAAAAAGGCTGCACAAACAGCAGCTGCAGCAGATGCGGCAGTAATGGGGGCTGCAGCAGCAGAAGCTGCAGCAGCAGAAGCTGCAGCGGCAGAAGCTGCAGCAGCAGAAGCTGCAACTGCAAAAGCTGCAGCAGCAGCAGCTGCAGTGGCAGAAGCTGCAGCAGCCGAAGCTGCAGCGGCAGAAGCTGTAGCAGCAGACGCAGTGGCAGCAGAAGCTGCAGCAGCAGGAGCTGCAGCAGCGGAGGCAGCAGCAGTAGAAGCTGCAGCAGCGGAGGCAGCAGCAGTAGAAGCT